CCGATAAAGATATACGCAGACTTGTTGAAACACACGTAAATGAAATCCAAGTTAGTGAATGGAGTAATCACGATCACCACTACAAAAAATCGAATTCTGCGGGAACAAAGCCTTTATACCCAGGAAAAGCGACTTATAAAAATATAAGGACATTTATAAGACTTCGAATAGGACTGAAGGCCCTGGCAGCCAGTGCTTTACATCTATAAGTGGAACGATTATTTATAATTATTTCTCTTTTAACTAAATAAATAAAAAAATAAATAAAACCAGAAAACAAACGAACAGTTGCAATTTAATAACAAAAAAAATCAGAAGCAATTGCATAATGCCGACGAAAGTGTGCTAACTGGATGACGTCCTGTGAACATACTGGCTATTGCATATAATATTGTTTTGTCACTTTGTTATTTGTTGTTTTGGTACTTGGTGCAGATTGTAGGGTCTTCCTTTTTGTAGATTGAACAGAGCACACTTAAATTGCAATCGTTGGACATACTTTCGACCGACCATATTTTCCAAAAAAAACTGATGCGTGCTCCTTATCTTCGTCGCCGTGTTTGAATAGCTCGGCCGGCAATCTGTCGGCTCCCGTCGCTTTGTTGTTTCATAGACGTGTAATTGCTATAGCAGAGAAGAGGAAAACTTCCACTCCGTTGGAAGGACCAGGTGGAGAATTGTTATTCGAACTTCTTCACGCTCTTTCAATGAAACTTGTGCTCCATCGAAATCGATTGAGGAACCAGGTTCGCCTTCTCCTGGCGTTATAATTTCACTGTCATTCAGCAGACTGCAGAGGTATTCCCTTCACAATTTTAGTATGATCTGAGCATCGGTTACAAGATCACCCTTAGGAGTTCTATATGAGTATACTCCGGTCTTGAAACCTTCTGCTAGCCTTCTGTTTTTTCTTAAAATTCCGGTTTGTCAAGCTCTTCGTAGTCACGCATTTCGGCCTCTTTTTTTTCTGTCTGCAAATGCGTCTCGCTTCCCTMTTCAACTCTCGGTATCTATCCCATCCCGCACGTGCTGTGGTCTATCGTAACGTTGCGAGGTAGGCAGCCTGTTTTCTCTCCGCTGCGACACGGCACTCCTCGTCGTACCAGCTGTTCTTTTGTACTTTCCGAAAACCAATGGTTTTGGTTGCAGCTGTACGTAAGGAGTTTGAAATGCCGTCCCACAGTTCCCTTATACCGAGTTGTTGACGAGTGCTCTCAGAGAGCAGGAGTGCAAGCCGAGTAGAAAATCGTTCGGCTGTCTGTTGTGTTTGCAGCTTCTCGACGTCGAACCTTCCTTGTGTTTTTTGGCGTGCGGGTTTTGCTGTACAGAGGTGGGTGCGGATCTTGGCTGTAGTAAGGTAGTGGTCCCAGCCATTACTAAGACCTCGGAGCGTATGCACGTCTAAACCACTGAAGACGTGACTTCCGTCTATCACAAAATGATCGATCTGGATGGTGGTTATTCGATCCGGAGACAGCCAGGTAGCTTCATGAATCTTCTTATGCTATCTAGTACTACAGGTAACCATATTTCGGTCCCCCTCGAAGTTGATCAGCCTCATCCCACTTGGGGATGAATTTACCGACTTTCTCGAGCGTTGTGTCGAAGAAACCGTCTCTGCCCACCTTAACGTTAAAGTTGCCAAGCACGAACTTGACATCGTGTCGGGAGAAGCTCTCATAGGTGCGCTCCTAGCGCTCATAAAAGGCATTTTTGGTCACATCGTCCATCTCTTCCATCGGAGCGTGTGCGCAAATCATCCATACGGTGGAGAACTTAGCTTTGGTGCGGATTGTGGCTAGACGCTCATCCACCAGGGGAATATCAGCAATCGGTCACAGAGTCTTCCTCAATCCGTGCTCGCACTTATTGGACGTTGGTGATGTCAACCTCTATTTTCACGACATCAACCAGCTGGGCAGCGGCATCTCCCAAATTAAGGGACCGGACATTCCAGGTGCATGCCCTCAAATCGTTATCCTTAATGCGTTCGCCATGGTCATCATCAAAAGCGGGTTGTTTCATCCGACGTTGTTGTTTAGTTTTCAGTGGTGCGTATCTTACGTGGCGGGTCCCAAAGCCAACGTTAAACCGTTGGCGTGGTTCTCCTTCTCACTTTAGCTCGCCTTCAAACCGATGTTCGTTGGCTACCCAGAGGGTACTTAGTCTATGACCAGAAGTAGTGAGTTGCTTGACCCATGTGTAAAAGAATCGCTTCTGGCCAAATGAATGGCAGTCGGAAAACTTTCCTCACTTACGTGAACTTCTACACATGACTCAAGCCTCTATTGACGGACATCTCTGGGCTGAATATTTTTAATAAGTGGACAATACCATGCCGCTTTCAGCTTTAATGTACCAAGGAGGAATACTATTTCCACCTGCTCATACAGTGTAACAAATAATAGAAAATTGGAAGATAACCACGCATTGACGATAAAGAATGCCTAAACTGCGATAGCTCGGTACATAAATTCGCCTTAAGCATACAGCTATGATTACATTTTCTGGTGTTAAAAGACGATGCGAAATTGTAAAATAAGCTGTGGCAACTCCGTCTTCAACGATTTCCACCACGGTGAAACCGCAGGGAGTTGAACGAGTTGACGTGGTCGTTTCTTCTTAATAGTCTCGAGCCGACCATGAAAGCAATTAATAACATAAAGGACCGTTTTCTAAAGCTACAGTAACAAATTTTTTATTTGTTGTGTTAATTAGTTTTTGGTATTTAATAAAAACATACTGCATTCATTACAAGCAGTGAAACCATGTTTATTAGGGGAACATGGCATAAGACGATAAAACATCAACTTCAATGAAGTAGCGGGCAACTGCAAAAATCATTATGTATACCTCAACGTAACAATGATGCACATATCATGCAGTCACACAACTCAAACTTTTAGAATTTAGTATCAACAACTCCGCGCACTGATTCATTCAGGTGGAGGAACAGTTAATTTCGCTAAACATAGGGATAACATAGAGCTGTCGGTGCCTTAACGGCTGATTTACTCAAGGAGATTTCCGATATCCTCAGGGTACCACCAGCACAATAAAAATATATTATCTAAATTTTAACGGCATTAATTGTTTCACCAATTCCGTTGATCATTACCCTTTTTGCACAAGTTAAGCAACTTGTAGAGGGTTTCGAGCACCATCTCGAACTGCAGCACCATTGGGTCCTTGTGTTTATCGATGAGAGAGCCCATCGATGGCTTAAACTCTGTATTAACAAGTCTGTAACCAGCCAAGGAAACTGCACTATGGCCTGCTGATAGATCTCAAGAAAAATCGGCACACCCAACCGCTAACATCACTCACAACGATTGGACAATTTTCTGAAACGAGGTAGTTCGACATTGGATCAGCAGGCCCTTCTCCAACATCTATCCAACATCCGCTTAAAGCTCTTGTAGTCTTTATCGTTTCATTGATACCACTAAGCACGACATCACTTCTGCCTCTTAGAGCACAGCAGGTGTCCGGTCTCATCTACATGACAACCACAAAGGTTGAAGGTTCGCGAATTACTGTAAGCTTCAGGCGATTCAATGCGCAAATGAGCCCTTACCAACTACCTGTCACTGAAGGTTTATTACAGTAAGAAAACTATTTCCCATATCAATCGCATTCTCATGTATCATCAGATTCCAGTGTTTCCAGAGACATCGGGAACGCAGGGGTCACAACACTTCAGCTTCTTCGAGATGGTAGGAATGCCTGTTGGACTTCGCAATGGAACCCAGACCAGCGACACATCGGCTATAGCTCGAGAGGGTTGGACTTTGATGACCTCTTAGCGTTTTCTTAAACTCAACTTCAAGCAGGACATAGCAGCTGTAGTTTGAACAGCTGAAGCATTCAATGCAGCTATAGGGATATCACTGAAACAGTTCGAATATGGCATTTGGAAGCAATTTGGATTTTTATCTACGAAGCTCATCCTAACAGAATTGAAGTACATCGCGTACAACAGGTGAAGAGAAAGTTTAGTTGACGCCCTGTTCAGGATCATGAGCATGCCGTCCCTCTTGAGCGCCCGCCGGAAGGATTCAATACGAGCAATACGATAATTAGGAGTTCCACCAGCTAATTCACGTATTAACCTCAACAATTTTTGTCGAGTGACACGTTTCATTGGTTGTCCCATCCCAAAGGCTAGGACAGCTATTGCACACTCAAGGAGAAGTACATTTGGCGGGACATCAAGAAGTGCGCACCAAACTGGTTCCGGTACTGCATACCGTACCAGCACTCAAAGACTTAGCATCACAACCTCAGCGACCTCATCGAATAATAGTTGTTAAGCAGCTAAGGTACTGTTTAATAACCAATGTTAGATTATTAAGATGGCTAGTTGCTGTTTCTCTAAAGAAGATTTCATTTGACATCGCTTGAGTGCCTTCTACTCCATCTATAGACAAAATCTGATATCACACGAACTACTCATTCAGTTTCAACAAAACTTGATGCGTAAGAGTATTATTCCGAAATTACTAAGAGAATTGACAAAACAAAGCACCAACCACGCCTTCTTCTCATATATATTTAAATTTTAATTTTCACGTCCGAACTTAGCACTTTCTTACTTGTTTAATATGGAGTTTTGTCAAAGCCGGCACATTTAACAGTTTCAAACTGCTACAGTATAAAATGTTTGGCTAGCACACATCTCACTCTTTCCTCACTTATTATAATCACGTTTGCGAAAGTGTTCAGCTGCAGCTCAACTTGGGTACCAAAAAGGTATAGCATAGAAGCGAATAAAACTAGAACTACGCGCTCTCAGCACCAACTAGCGAAAATACCGCAAGACTTTTTGACAAGCTATTATTAGTTATTCTTTACCAGAACATATTACGAGTTTATAAATTTAGAAATACGAGTATATCAGGTAATTGTTGTGAACCTGTATTAAACCATCTAATGAAAATCGACAGAGATATTCGTATTCAAGACGTAATAATCTTTATTTTCAATCACTGTTGAAAGAACATAATTGTAGCCTACCCAATGTGTATACACGAGTATGTCTAATAATTTTATGAATCATTATGTACTATTTACCTTTAGCATATGGCACAATATATATCGTTGGATGCGAGTTGGAAATTTGAAGCATTTACTTTTTTCCTCGCTTTTAAATTTATTCTTATATAATTTGTATATAAAACAAAAATATATCAAACTATTAAAATGGTTATGTTGAAATGTGTACAAAAATGTAATTAACTAAAAATATTTCACCGCTTTGGAATAGGTGTTAGCTTATATATAACATAACTTTGGAAAAGATTCTAGAATATGTGTTAAAACTCAATATATACACAAGCTTACAAGTATGTCATAAGCATGTATATTTTTATATGCATTTTATTTATGATCTTTGTATACGTCGTGAGAATGGCACATTGTTCAATAAAATTGCTTAAGTACATAATTATTATTACTCAGTATTTGCTTTACATAACTTAATAATGGTACTATTTGATAATATTTGATATATATTTTTTGTACGAATAATTTCAATCCTCATCTCGAGAACTGAAGCTGAGGGTGTTTCCTTCTGAAGAAAAGCCAGAGTGCGGGGACATGCTATCAGGCGGGTAATAATAATTTCCGCAAAGTGATGTCGCTTCATTTGAATTGACCACTGCTTCCATAACCACACTTGAATTATCTATTTGGGTCACTCCGAATGTTGCTGCCGTTGTGTTATTAATTGAATGATCCATATCTTGAAGATGATAAGCTGCCGCAATGGAACTTTTTATATTGCAGCCAACGATAACATCCGTATCGTTAAGTAATTGTCCCGCCGCACAGTTCGATGTGTTAGTGTTTGTTACCCCACCTGTAACGGCATTACCACGGCACCATAATTGGCGCATTTCAGCACGTCTATTCCGCATCAAGACCTTGTATTCCGATATACGCATTTTTTTCCCATCTACGATACATGTGCGTTTCGGGCGAGGCCGGTAACGATAATCAGGATGTTGTTCCATATGTAGTTTTGATAGTCGGGATTGTTCTTCATAGTATGGTTGTTTATCAGCATTGGTCATGGCCTTCCAACGAGCTCCAAGAATTTTTGAAATATTTGAATTGTGCATATCCGGACAGGCTTTTAATATTTTTCGCCGTTCATCTTTCGCCCATACCATAAAAGCGTTCATGGGCCGTTTTATGTGGGGCGTAGCGTGTAAGATATTTCCCTTACAGTTATTTGCCACTATGGATTGGTTTTTGTTTTTATGATTATTTTCGTACATAATTTCTATCGATTCAGAAACACTGAGAACATCGGGCTTAAGCAGATGTTGTTCTTGGTGTTTTCGACGTAAAGAGTGCGCGTGCGGTGAAAATGTATGATCATTTTGGTGTTGATGGTGGTCATTTTGATTTTGTTCTTGCAGTTGGGGTACTGCTAAAGGTCGAAATTTATCAATGACTGGTTTCGTTTCTTCCAATTTTTCCACGCATTTCAATATAGAGTCACAGTTTTTTGTTATTGTGGAAAAATGGGTACTTTCTGTAGACATATCATCCTCAGGCTTGCTTCTTTGAGGGCTGCTTCGGTAGGCTAGGTTTGACGTTGGTTGAAACAAATGTTGCTGTTGATGATTTAAGTGATCTGGATTTGAGATAGTATCCGGTTCATTAACGGCTGCGCTCCACATACGGCATGCCAATAAATTTGCACCAGCTTCGCTTAATTCACCATTAGTTAAACAGGTTCGCCTTTGATCATTGCAAGGGGATGAACACCGATGAGCTGTAGTACTTGAAGTTCTTGTGACTGTGATATGCTTTTGGATACGATTTTTCGTTGTATATGGAAAGTATATCCCAGGTAAACCTGCTGCTGCTACAGGTGTTACCTCCATTGAGTTCTTTAATTTTAATCCACTCGTATTGTCATCACATTCAATTTCCGCATGTGAGGTTTCTGCTGGCGTCGACCAAGATATCGGAGAAGAAGACGTAAGTAAAGCCAATACTTCACGCTGTTTGTGTAATCCGGGGGAGCTGGATGTAAAAGATGGTGGTGAAGGACACGGTGACAATTGATGTTTAGATAAATTGAGCGGTGTATCTGTTACCGAAATACCTTGCTCATTGGGTTCTTCGTCCATTTCAATTGCATTAAATGTAGTTATTTCATTTAATTCTGATTGTCCTCTTTCATTTGAACTAACAGTGTTATCGATATCTACTTGTGATACACGAAATTTATTATGATAAATCGAGTTCAAATGAGTCATGGGAGATTCTGGAGGAGTGACACCACCATCGGTAGAATATAAGTATATTGGCACAGAAGAAGCCAATGAAAAGTTATCACCTGCAATACTATCGCAATGTTTTGGCGACTGCGTTTCTCCTTTGCTGACGCTTCTATTTGCGCCGCTACTTCTAACACTATTACTATTTATTATAGTCTTGCAATTGGCGGATTTGTAGTTAATAGGACTAATCCTACTATTGCCATTGCTACTGCTAACGACTGCAGCAGCGGCTACCAAAGCAGCTTGAATATGCGCAGCAGCAACAGCAGCCGAAGACCACATAGGTTGCATAACTACAGTTCTTGCTTTGTTGAATACTTGCAATTTTAAACTGTTGTTATGTTTAATACGATTATAAAAGGACTGTGATACTTGCAGTTTTACGAAGGGTAATGGCGTGAAAGAAATGAATGGTTTCAGAAATGGAACTAATGCAGTATACTGAACTGATTGAAGATTTTACTGATACGTATACTAGTACCAGTCTTTTCAGCTCAACGTTAAGGTATATATGGTGTCCGGGCCGATGTTGATATATAAATCATATCATATAAGAAGAGTTATTTGTGTTATGTAGCTCAGTTACTCGGAATGCGAAATATTATGTTCCAGGCCAGTTTTTATTGAATATGGAACTGCAAGTAAATATGAAAAAGCGATTATATATTAATATAATATATAAACTGTTACAGGTTATATTCAATTGATGAAAACAAGTAAAGGAAACCTAAATTCGGCTGCAGAATAACATCACATACTTTTGTAATTTTCAAGAATATATGCGTTGAAATATTTTTAGATATAAGCTAATTATTATTAAATGAGTAAATAAAAAATATATTTTTATATATATAAAATGAAGTCGTGTTTGTTACACTGTTTATGAATCAAGAACGGCTGAACCGATTTGGCAGAAAATTGGTTGGGAGGTAGCTTAGCACTTCCTTTATCTTTTTCTATTAAAATTCAATACAATTCATAAAAGCAAAAATTATATTTAAAATCATAAACATTTCTTCTGAACTCATGAAAAAATCATTCGAAAATTTTATGACTTGAAAAATAAAAAGAAACAAGTAAAAAAAAAAAATAATGGCACAGATCTAATGTGGAAGAACAATATTTTCGCATGCAGGCCTGTTTCTGGGATTTTTTTTTTAGAACAAATCCGTCGGATATATTTAATATCACAAAAAAATGGCATTGACATTCTTTGCTAGATTATGGGCAAAGGACGCAAATGCGGTTACAACAAACCAAACACGATATTTAGCATAAAAATACAGTGGAATAACTGGAGTGTTGATAAAATGTTCTATTATAATTTGAGATATACGATACACAAATCTTTTTGAAGCATTGCACAGAGCAGTGAAGTATATGCGTTCAATTTCAAAGTTATCCTTCCTAAAAAATAATAAAATTGCTAAATATTGTTAATGGTAGAATAGAACTGCAACCAAATATTCAATGCAATGAATTAAAATTGGATCAGTAATAATTCGGAGAATATTATTATACCACGTGCATCCCAAAAGACTTATGCCATAATCTTGCCAGCCGACTTTTTTGTCTTTCTACGCTTGAGAACCGGTTTATGATATGGAGTCCACTCGGCTGACTGTCGATTGGACTTGGTAGATTTCCTTGGTGCACAGCCCAAATTCAACCGTATTTTGTCCCCCAAAATGCTTTATTAACACACGAAATGTTGTAAATGGTTTTTGATTTTGGTTTTTTAAACTATCATAAGTTCCTTCACCTTCACCTTCTCATTAAGTAATATTATATTATAGTATGTGTGTATCAGCTACAGTAAAGCGTGGACGAGGCCACTAGTTTTGTATAAAATCAGCATTCGTTTTTTCACGCAATTATGCAAAAAATTGGAAAGAGCGGTGGACATCTCAAAACTAATTATATGGGGCTAGAAGAAAATATTGACAAAATATGTCCACTTAATTTCGTCTTGATTCATAAGTCAAATTAAGTAAGATAACAAATATCTTGCGCTACGCAGTTCAATTGCTCTGGATGCGTAATATCATTTTTCAGGCCAGTTTTTATTGATATTCAACTGCAAGTAAATATGGAAAAGCGACATTTATTAAAACATAACCTAACACAGATTACAAATTATGAAAACAATTAAACTGAGTGTAAGTTTTGTTGCTGCTGAACATTACATACTCTTGCAATGCTCATGAATCAAGTTGTCTGACTCTCTTTTAAACCCACCAAGCCCATTGCCAGGTGGCATGATACCAGCACAATTGCAACATGTTGTCAAAATGTCATTTAACTGACTGACACCCATGTACGGTCAGTGCTATGTTCACAAACATTCGGGCAATCAGCCTCACCTCTTCTACTGAACGCCCTTGAAAAGCTGTCACATAAATGGTTGTATTTTAATGTATATATATCTAATAATAGTTTCTAGGAATATTTGTTATATGAGGAAGAAGGCACTGTTCGACATACTATTGTTAATCGGCTAGAGAAAGAAATCCAATTCAGCAAAGTTTTGTCGAAAGAGGTCATAACAGCTCTTCCAAAGGCTAAAGCCGGATAAAAAGTTTCAGGTGTTTACAATATTAAAAAGTATAAAGTAATGGTTTTACTTCATTGTCATTTTAATACCATATTTTACTTCCCGTCAATAAAACTTTCCAAACAAAATAGTAAAATCATTAGAGATATGAGAAATTATTTTCGAGCAATTCTTTAATTATACCTACTATATAAATACTAGAACACCGTTCACGCGCTGCTGTGGCTAAGTATTTATTAATTATAAACTATTCAATAAAGTAATATTGTATTCATGAATAAAAAGTAAGAAAGTGTTATAATACCTCATACTAAAAAAATTGTTCCCTGCATGGAGTAAAATCCGCCGAAAATCCTGATGTGGGGGCTATGTCATATTCTAGCCTAGTTATATTTAAGGCACAGCTATACGCAGTTATATGCTGTTGTTATAAGCAAAGCATGTCCTGTCCATTGAGATAACTCAAATACTGGCCGATATATGGGGGCTCAGGAAGTATTGACCCGATTCAACCCATTTTCGATACACCGAATTATAAAAATATTGTCAGAAAATGATTCTGTCTAAATTACAATCGTAAATCTCACACATTGACAGATATTTTCAGTCAAAAGTCACCTACAAGTACTGGGTATCAAATATTCAGTATCTAGCGGCTTGAACAGTTTTGCTTGGATTTGGACAGATTTTGGTCATAAGGTGGCATACATTAAAGGAATTATTTAAGCTAAATTTTATCCCGTGATATTAAATAATTAATGATTTATGTACTTTCTGTACAGTAAAATGAAAGAATGAAATGGAATTTAATGTGTTATATGGGAAGTAGGCGTGGTTGTAGTCTGATTTCGCTCATTTTCACACTGTGGGATAAGAATGCTACGTACAAAAGTTGGTCGAAATCGAGATTTTCAGCCGGGTCTGGCTCCCATAGAAGCTTCTCATACCATTTTGAAGGTAAACTTTAACGTCTGTAATTAATTATTGATTTATTACGCTTTTAGTAGTTTTGTACAGTTCCGATATATGGAGAGTGAGTTGGGTTGTCCTCTGATTTCGTAGGATTTCTTATATAATTTGCACTCAGTAAATTTGATTGTAGAAGCTTTAGTAATTTAGCAGATATGTACATTAAACTTATAAGAGAGCGACTACTTGTCAAATTTTTTTTGCCATAAGTGCATTCTGCTACCTCTACCTAATTATAAGTTTACACCTTAATTAAGTAGAGGATGGAGTTATTTGTAGAAGTTTACGCAAGTGAGAAAAGTTCTCTGATCGCTATTCACTTAGGAGTGGTCAGAAACGATTCTTTTACATATGGCTCAAGCAGCTTTCGAATCATTGATCGAGTATCCTCTGGTTAGCCAAAGAACATCCGTTTGAAGGCGAAACATCCCCTCTGCAGTCTTTTGCGCCACCCACGCAAAAAACGCAAATAACGAACAGACAAAAACAGACTCGGATGAGTGGATAAAAGGGATTACGATTAAGGGCATGCACCTGGAATGTCCGGTCTCTTAATTGGGAAAGTGCCGCTGCACAGCTGGCTGATGTCTTAGTGAAAAAAAGGCCACCATTTTGATGATGACCATGGCAAAGGAAATAAGGATTACGATTAAGGGCATGCACCTAGAATGTCCGGTCTCTTAATTGGGAAAGTGCCGCTGCACAGCTGGCTGATGTCTTAGTGAAAAAAGGCTGACATCACCGCCGTCCAAGAACTGCGATGGTCAGGACAATAAATGAGGCGAGAAGGTGGCTGTGGCATTTACTACAGTGGTCATATAAAGAAGCTCAAGTTCGGTACGGGATTCATGGTGGGAAGAGCCTCCGTCACCTAATACTGTTATTCACTCCGCTGGATGAAATTGTAGTCACAATCCTCATCAAAGCGAGGTTCATTAACATATCGCTGATTTGCGACCACGCCCCGACGGCCTAGAAAAATTAATCAAGCAAACCTGCCTGTCTACGGATCGAAAAGCCATCAACAAAATCACTCACGTTGTGATAGACGGAAGACACGTCTCCAGTGTTCTAGCCACTATTTTGTTGCAACCAAGATTCGTATACGCCGCTGTGCAGCAACAAATGCACGTCAACAAACACGAGGAAGGTTCGACGTCGAGAAGCTGCAAACACAACAGATATCTCAACAAACGACTTGCACTCCTGTTCTCTGAGAGCACTCATCAACAATTCGGTATAAGCGAACCACTTCAAGCTCCTTACACTGCAGCCGTAATCATAGGTTTTCGGAAAATGCAAAAGAACAGCTGGTACTATGAGGTGTGCCGTGTCGCAGCGGAGAGAAAACAGACTGCTGCTCTCGCAACGTTACGATCGAACACAACACGTGCTTGATTGGCTACTCGGATTGTGTGACGGCGTGGCGCGCAAACTATGTGCAGATTGCACAGCCGTAAAGGCTAGTATCGCAGAATCCCGTAGGCAAGATGTTGCCACGTTACGCGTGGTCCAGTCCCTATGAGTCTTAAGGCCTAAGGAAGTCTTATCCATCCATTGTATGTATTACACCTGACCGAGGCGGAGTTTGGATGGAGCCTTTTTGCGCATACGCAGCAGAAAAACTCCTCCGGGCGAGTTATGTGTACACTATCATCCCCACCAGACACCACACAACAAAATATTGTAAATTGGACAAAAGAAAAGATTAAAGAAAAACAAGTAAACATTACAAAAAATAAAATAACAAGTAGAGATAAAGAACATAATGCAAATGCATACAAACATATTTTGGTCCTTATGTCTGACTGTAATGATAACCCGGACGTTATCGGGTAAACCACACAATAATGTTTGTGTGCATTCAATAGAAAATACGGTTATATTTAACAAATATTGTATTTAATAAGAAAATAAAAAAAAAACTAAGAAATAGATTAAGAAAATTGTAATCACTTTAGTAGTTATATATGCAGAACATAATTTGAAAAAGATACAGAACAAAATATAATGTTACAGAAGTAACATCGGCGGCATTTTTATTTATTCCTCCGCTCGAACAACTAAAACTGGCGCAGTCGGTAAAAACAAACTGCAAAGTTGAGCGATATT